CAATAGTGTATGAAATGTTAATCACTAGCCAATAAGCGTAAATTTCAGCGGGTTTATACTGATCCCGTAGCAGGATAAATATGCTGTAGTTTTGTACGAAGGTGTGCTTGATTTGTGGGAGATCGCCGGGCACCCAGGTTTGTGCAAACCTGAAACAAATAGGCAATGTCTCTCCTGAGTGTGTGGTTACTGGGCTATTGCACACCAGGCAAAGAATCTGCTTTTTGGACAACATGTCTTTTGGACAACATGCTCTTTGAAGGCTATGGCTTGTCTCTCAGTGATAGAAAAACGGCATCTTATCTAAATAGCCTCTAGTATTTGTGCTTTGGTACTTTTGAATGGAAAAATCTATGGTTACTTCGGTTACTAATAAAGGCTTTTTCTACATAAGAAAAACACGGCTTATGAGAAGGTCCATGGCTTCTCTTTAAAAGCACAACCTGTTTTTAATTGTTTGGCGCCACGGAGTGGTAAGATTATATATTGCTCTAAATAATCCGTTTCTGAGAGTTTTCAAATTATAAGCTCAGCATCTCCCTCTGAAAGAAACTTAAAATATAAAATATTCTACGTAGTGGATATAGGCATAGCTCAAGATGACTAGAATTTATAGCTTAAACATTAAAGTTTCCAACAGTGTGGGTTAGAGTGTTTCCTTTGAGAGGGATTTTCACTGGCGGATGTTGATTTGTCAGAACTGTAAAGTCTGCGACCATAAATCCAGCACTTAAAAAAAGCCTTCTGATGAATTGCAGAACCATGCTCAGACATCACAGTAAAAAAGGCTGTACCGGGTCAGAGCGGGAGGCCACCTAGCCTGGCATCCAGTCGCTTGACTGTCGTCCTCAGCCAGTGCCCAGGGAAGTTCAGTGTCATTTCCCCAGAATACTGTCCCGGTCTCCAGTTGCTTTGTGGTTCAGGGACTTTGTGAAACAGAAGTTTTGTGTTTTGAAACTTTTGCTGGTTGTTTTTTTTTTTCTCCCATGATGTAATCCAGCTGCTTTTGAACAAATGTAATTTTCAAGATCCAAAATGTCCTAGGACAATGAGCTCCATGGTTTAAATAATTAGTTTTGTTTTGGATGTGCCATCTGCTTGTTTCATTTGATGCACCTTAATTTTTGTAGAGATAGTGAAAAATGATTTTAGACATTTCTATCGTATTCAATTTCAGTAGTTTCTCTTTGAGAGTGAAGATAATGGCTTCACAGAGAAGCCCCTCTCTACCTTTGGCCATCCTTCTTACCCTACCTCACACCTTTGGCAGTCCTATTATATTCCTTTGGTGTAGGGATGAACACTGCCCGTAGAGTTCAAAGTGTGTATGTATTTATACAGCGACATAGTGGTGCTTTCTAGTTTGTTTTGTAGTCTCTCCCTAGCAATTTCTAACACTGCGATTGCTTTCTTGGTCTCTGCAAGATCTCTGGCACACGGCAGAGCACAGCGGAGCCACGACAGGAGTAATTCAAGACTCTGTTGCTCCTTACCAGCAGAACAGAAATGATGAAAACAGTGACTTCACTTTTCAAGGTAGTTCAGCCTAATAACCCATGGCTGGTGAGCTGCTCAGAGGTGGTATGTGAGCCAGTTCTAAATACGTTCTTTTGGATACTGGAAACATGGCGCTCTTGGAGAAGAGAGCAATTAGTGTGTGGGTCTTGCATGCTATGGTTTAATTTCTCGAGGTGACTCTTTGCTGTACATTGCACTATGAAGTGTGGATTCTTCGAGTGTTACCTGACAGCTCCCTGGCATCGATGCTTCCTCTAACTGAAAAAACTCGGGAGAGTAAAGCTCCTTTGGAAAGCAGGAAGTTGCTGGAAAGTTATCCCCGGTGGGACAGAAAATGAGCTGTGTGAGAATACACAGAGCTGCAACCCTGGAAATGGTTCCCCTGAAATTGGGGAACCTGTAGGAAGAGGATCCCATTGAATGTGAAATCTGCAGGTCTTGAATTGAGCACAAGGAGCTGGGGACCTGGCTTAGCTTGTTGGAGACTATGCTTACGCTAAATGAGGATGCGTTGTCTGATTTAGCTGGAAGGTGAAATCACATGGGAGCATTCAGCCTCTCTTCGAGCTGGAGAGAGCCCAGCATTTTACGTAGGTCACTGCAACGCACAGTGCCAAATAATGGTGTCAGTTTCGTAGAAAGGGCTGAACGCAAACCAGAGGGAAAATCAACCAAACAACAGAGAAAAAGGTTAAATTATTTTCCATGTGTTGAACACGGTTGAACCTTTTCTCAGTTCCTCTGGCCATTACCGTGTCAGAAGTCAGAAGGTACTGTGAAACTTCAGTGCTAAAAGGGGATCCAGAAGTTTGTTGAAAGTCCTGGACGGACTCTTATGGACTCAGGCTGCTTTCCATTGCTAAGAAAATCACTGCTGGGTGAAAGTCAAGTGGCAAGGAATGGGTTTTGTTATGTGTTCCCCCTTTTCCTTACCAAAACATCGTCGTTCTTAAATCTTAACGGAAGCATGACTGCTACGTTGAGCTGGCATTCTACAATAACCACTTTTGCAATAACCATTTTTGCAATGAGTGCGAGATTTCCCTTCTGCTAGATACAACTCATGGACCTGGGAAAGACCATCCCCATTTGGTAGTCTATTGCTTGCAAATTACGTACTTGTTGCTTCCATTATATTCATATGGGACCTGGAGGGGTTGTGAGAGGCACATGACACCGATGTTGAAAACTTAAAAAAAAATGTGCTCTGGCTAAAAATGAAATGCTTGTATATAAAAAATTAACTGGTTTTTGTTAATTATTTTACAGTTTAAGAAAATGTGGAGGCACTGACACGTTAGGGACTGCTGTAAAGGGTCGGGATAGATGGCTAAGAGGAAACAAACGGCGGGCGCTTTTCAAGTGAAGTTTCTTGGATTTTTGCAAAGCGTTTATTCAAACCTCTTCCTGCTCCTTGGGGGAAAAAAGGGGAAAGAAAGAGGGAAGGAAGAATTTGTGAGCAGAGCAGCTTGATTCGCGTTGGATGCTTCACTGGGCCTTGCTTCCTCTGGCTCCGAAACGCAGGTGGCCCCGGAGGGACGCGCACGAGGCCCGGAGCGCGGCCAGGGCGATGACGAATGGGGCGGCGAAGGACGCAGCCTCCGTTTGCAGTTCTAAACTTAGGGGACAGTCAGGAACTGGGGGGGGGGTGCA